TCAGATTTACAAATATTATATTTTGACCTTAATCGAAATATTCGGCTATTTTCAAAAGCTTTTTTAGTCTGATGCTTCAATTCATTTTAGACCGTTCAACAAAAGGATACCCAACATCTAAATATTGGATTGTTCTTTCTTAGTAAGATCCCATTTTCATTACAATTGTGGTCTTACCTTGACTTGAAGATGAAGTCCATGCTATCCTTCTGGACAACAATCTCTATTACTTTTTTGTAAAAGTCCTCCTTATCTTCCTGTAATTTGAAAAGTCTAGCTTGTTATTTGTGTCTACCGTCTCTGCGTAGAATAACAGTAGCAACAAGAACCTGTGGGCTCATGTGCGCCCCCTTCAGTGCGGCAGAGTTTATGGCTGCCTCTCCTGGTGCTTTTTTCATTGCCGTTGTATGATGAGACCAGCGAGCCTAAATATCATATATACGTGAAATAAGTTATTTAGAGACTATGGATGGCGAGGATAAATGTAATAAAGGGATCTACAAACATTACATTGGTGACATACAGTGAGATGGTAACAGGCATGCGCTTAGTGCCCGCGCTCCAGCCAGTTTCTGTGGGGTGACGCATTCTGAGGTGAGGCAGAGCTCATCTGTGCCTCACCTCACCCCACAGTAACTGGCTTGAGCGCGCTCACAAAATAAGTGCCCGCGTTAAATTAGTGCCCGCGCTCCAGCCAGTTACTGTAGGCTTACGTGAGGCAGAGCTCGTCCCTGCCTCACTTCTCATCGCTACCCGTAGTTGTAGCGGAGCTCGGCAAATTTGCTGATTTTGACTTTAAAAAGTGATTGGAATCATACATAAAGCACATTTACAACACAGATCAGTGGAGACATTTTATTATTATTACTATTTAGTTTTTCTTTAGTTGTTTTTCTGTTACATTGGAGTATGACAGGTGAGGCTCTGCCTCCCCTGCCTCCCCTGCCTCCCCTGACCGCACGTCGCTGGTGTGAATGCACCCTAAATGTCCCTGCACATGCAGCAATGACATTTCTGCTGCTATCTTTGCAAAATGAGTTAACAGTCGCATCTTATCTGGATGAGTGCTGCAGGCGAAGCCAGACGCATTACTTTTGTAAAGTAGGTTTTCACTATGTTGCTGATATATGCAGTCACAGTTCAAATACACACATACACCAATAGGATAAATCATACAATACTAATTAGACGTAGAGGTGCAATGCAAAGGGGCTGCCACTTTACGACGCCAGGGATCAGTTGGGGGTTCTGTGCCATACTCAATGACTCCACGGCAGTGCCCTGGAGGTGAACCGACACCTATCTAGTTACCAGTCCCCATCGAGTATATATATATTTTTTGGATCTGTGCGGAGACTTGAACCGGTGACCATCTGGTCCAAAGCCTATGGACTGTGCTACTGCCTGCCTCTAAATCAAAAAAGTGAAGTCAATGTAAGTAACCTAAAGTCTTCTTCCTCCACAGTTCAGGGACGACAACAAGAAGCTCCACCCCTGTCTGGTGGACTTTCAGAGCCTCCCTGAACCAGAAAGGAACTACAACCTGCAGATGTCAGGAGAGACCCTCAAGTGAGTTAACAACAGAGTTTCTTTAGATGTGTCAGAGAAGGAATTTAATCCACGATAACATAGTTGATGCCTGTATTGTTATTACCTTATAGGACTCTCCTGGCGCTGGGTTGCCACGTTGGAATGGGTGACGAAAAAGCAGAGGAGAATCTCAAGAAGATCAAGCTGCCTAAGACGTATGGCAACAAACACATTTCTGTTTAACGTTAGACATTATCTTTTATGTATAATTGAATATGAACTTGCATTTATCCTCCAGCTACGTGATGACTAACGCATACAAGCCTGCCCCTCTTGACCTGAACCATGTCAAACTGACACCCAACCAGAACCAGCTCGTAGAGAAACTGGCAGAAAACGGACATAATGTTTGGGCAAGGGACCGGGTGCGACAAGGGTGGACCTACAGTATTGTGCAGGTATGTAATTCCAATCCTTAATATGTTTTTTTATTATTACTTTTTAGGCCAATTCATTTTGAGCAACCAAATGATGCATGTTTACAGGTGTCAACCACTTTAGGCTAAGCCCTGGTGCCATTCTAATAATTTCCTTGTTTATAAGATATACAATAAGTCACATATTTTTTGTATTATATCAAGTCGTAATCTGTTTCACTTCTCAGGACATCATGAATAAGCGAAACCCTCGTCTGGTACCTTACAACCTTCTGGACGAGAAAACTAAGAAAACGAACCGAGACAGTGTGAACAACGCTGTCCGCACCCTCATTGGCTATGGCTACAACATTGAGCCTCCAGATCAGGAGAGCTGTGAGTGGGATAATTTCACCCAGAATATCATCCACATCCTCAAAATCTCAATGTTTCTTAATCCCTCATGCTTTCCATGCAGCGGGCCATGGCCTTGAGAACACCCGCGGGGACAAGATACGGATCTTCAGGGCGGAGAAGTCGTACGCGATCACCCAGGGGAAGTGGTACTTTGAGTTCGAGGCGGTCACCACGGGGGAGATGAGAGTGGGCTGGGCCCGTCCCAGTGTCCGCTCTGACAACGAGCTGGGAGCTGATGAGCTGGCATACGTTTTCAACGGAAATAAGGTCAGTCCCAAATCAATGACAGGCCAATATGTGAGGTTTAGACTGTCTTGTAGTTAGACTTAGACATTTGAACAGATAAATATTAGTTATTTTCAGTAAGTCCACTCTTTGCCCCTCAAACAAAAACAATTGTAGAATTTTGAAGACATTTTGAGATTGTGAAATCACTTAAAGGTGGGGTAGGTAAGTTTCAGAAACCGGCTCGAGATACACTTTTTGTTATATTCCATGGAATTCTCTTAACATCCCGATAGCAATGAATATCTTAAGTGCTTTGACAAAAAATCCATAAAAAAATGTCATCTGTGGAACCCGTAATACTGTAAAAACTACAACCAATCCGTTTAGCCGGATTGCCGCCCTGTCTGTCAGCCTTCCATCTCGTGCACGCACAAATGTACCTTGTGCCCTCATTGGGCATGCCGTCATTGGGAGTGCATTGCAGCAGTACTTCAATGACTCGCCAGCAACAGGCGGCCACATTCACCATGGTAGAGTTAGGTTCAACAACGTCTACTGGTCGCAAAAGAAAAAATGTAACGGAGCAAATTAAGAACAAAAAGAAAGTGGAAACTAGAAGAAGTCAAACCAGAGTGAATATCGGAGTTGCTTTGGCTGTATAGTATTGCTAACCTAGATGTGTTTAGCTTTGCCTGATATGTAACGTTACTGCAGCCTGCTCTCGCGGAGGAGGTGCTCTGTAAGGAAGTCTGAAGGAAGGGGCGGATTCTTTTTGGCTGTGTACTTTCAAATTTTAGTGCACTCGAGCCGGTTTCTGAAACTTACCTACCCCACCTTTAATAGGGGCGTAACTAATCTGCTGTTTGCAGGGCTCTCAAGTTTTGAACAGAGTTCAGAGTAAGATTT